AAAAAAAGGAATGGCTGTTCCCACTGCAGAGCTAGTATCAGGGGAAGCAAGCCACTTAATACACCTAGTATATTTCTGATATTCAATGTGTATATATAAAAAGATTCTATTTAATAGATCCATGTCAGAGGGGAAAATGCAATGAGGTACCCATACTATTTTCAATACAAGATGAGTACAGCAAGTCCTCTTCAACTCAGAGTTAGCTGGAGGTCACTGTTGAAAAAAGGACAGTGAGTACCTGAAGTACATCCTATGCCAAAATGGTCTCTGGATTTTTTTCTTCCTTGCTGATTTGTACAAGCAAAAACCAAAAAAACTAAGTTGACTAAATTGTGGTAGATTCAGAGTTAATAATTATATAGTAACTTCCAAAGGTTAAAATTCAAAACACAGATCTCACTATTGATATCTAGTACTCACCAACAGAAAGAGACAAGCGTATGCCATGGAGAATGGGAGTACATGTGAGGAGTTGGGGGTAAGGGTATGTTGGGGGGTGGTTAGGAAGAAGGGTACTGTTCATTACAAAAACTTTCCCTCCTCTGCAGGAAGTGTACCCACATAATAGCTGTTGGTCACTGCTAGCATCCATCCAAATGGAACAGTGTACAAAAGCCACCCTGTCCCCAAAATAAGTATTAGAAGTACCAGATTTATGATAAGAGAGTGGCCTGTGATTGACAAATTACAATTAAGATATGACATTGAAGATCCCCTTCCACATTTTCTTGCCACCTCCCAGGCTCCATGACCTGGTAGGAACTTCCTTTTTCCATGGTTCCCCTTGCTGAAGAAGTGTATCCAGTTCCCACGACTGACGAGCCCATCTCCAAAGGCTATGACATTCCTAAATCAACCCTCTAGCAACTTTATTTATTGGTTATTGGGAACAATCTTTTAGAGATACTCACAGAAATAGACATGGGCAAAGGAAAAGTTCATTCTATATTTGGTTCTGTCAATACCTGTACTTAACTTTACCAGTCCTGAAGGTTATAACTTTATATTGGACAAGGAAAATTTATTATTCCTGCCAGTTTATGATTTCCACTGGAAAACAAAGAACCCCAACAATGGCTAAAATGGAAGGGTCCCAAACCTAGAAAAGGGAATACACTGGGCCAGAAAATGAGCTCCATTCTTTTCACATATTATTTCCAATATACATAAATATATTCTGAGGGAAAATTAGATACTTCAACAGATAAATGGATAAAAAATTGTGGTACATACATGCAATGGAATGTTATTTGGTCATAAAAAGGAATGAAGTACTGGTACATGCTACAATGTGGATGAACCTTGAAAACATTATGCTAAATGAAAGCCAGACCCAAAAGAACACATATTGTGGGATTCCACTTATATGAAATATCCAGAATAGATAAATCCATAGAGACAGAAAGTAGATTGGTGGTTCCCAAGGGCTGGGGGAAGGGGAAGACAGGAAGTAACTGCTTAATGGGGAGTAGGTTTTCTCTTAAGGTAATGAAAATGTTCTGGAACTAGATAGAGGTGGTGGTTGCACAACATTATAAGTGTACTAAACACCACTGAATTGTTCACTTTAACATGGTTAATTTTGTCACGTGAATCTCAGTTCATTAAAAAAATTAATTTTTTAAGATAGAGGATACTGATGGGCAAAACAAAATGCACTTGTGAAAAGGCAGCCTTTAAACTCTTAGGGAAACGATAAGCATTTTGAGGGCACTCAGTTTCTGCTCTTGATCACAACATGAAGTTCAAGCACTAAGTTGTATAGATTTTGTCATTATGCTGTCTGTGTATGCATGCCTTTCTGAAAAAAAAAAACAGGGAAGGGAACAGAAAGTGAAGAAAAGAGAATGGTAAAGCCTTGCCAAATGCAAGGAAGGAGGGGTGATTCCCCCTGCTGCACCCCACCCAACTTGGCACCAAGAGTAATGCTCCCATTAGGGTTTCGAAATGCCAGCTGGAGCTGGAATCAGCACAAGCAAGCTTCTCTGCCTGCATAAAGAGCAAGCCGCCCAGCAAGAAAAGCTGGGGTGCTCCATTTGCTGCCCATATTGGCATCAGAAACACCCTTTGCTCAAAGGCCCTGAGCTACCTCAGATCGGCATCAGAGACTTGCTCTCCCAGGCCAGCCAGCCTAACAGCAACAGCTTGTTGGGGCTCAGTGTGCCCCTCCTCCTGAGGGGTTCCACTCTACTTCATCTCACCTGACTTCCAAGATCTTGCCTCCAACAACCTGCCTCCGAGGGTGCCATGCCTTACACCATTAAAAAATAGGACCAAGACCAAGATGCCCTCAGAACTTTCCCCTCTCCAGCCTGAAATAAACATCCTCTCCGGATCCCCTCCTTCTCTCTCAGACGAGCTCAATATCCTGTATACCCCTACACAAACAGACGTACACCCTGCATTGCTGCCTCAGACGCCTGCTCCACGGGGGGGATACGAATACGCTCCACATGCCCCAGCTTGCTACAACCATCCTCTCAAGAGTCAACGCATCCCACCTAACTTACCTGCCGTCTCAAAGGCCCCTCACTCGCTTAGCACCATGCCTCTACCATCTCCCTGCCACCAAAACCGTCACAACTATCCCTCAGCTAAATACCGACGCTCCCTTAGATCCTGTCCACGCCAGGCATGGGCGCCCCTCTTGGCAACAATACTCCTTCAGGCCCCTCCAGCCAGGCCTCGACGACCCCCAGGCCCCCAGCCTGGTCCGGACGCCCCCTCCCCCTTACCTGCGGGGGTTCAGCCCTGGCTGACAGGGTGCTGGGCAGCGCCTGGAGGAGCAGGAGCGCCATGCCACCCAGGAGCCTTCTCCTCTCCATCCCCCTCCTGCTCCTGCTCCTCCGCCACGGCGCCGCCACCTCCCTCCTCCTCCTCCTCCTCCCTCTCCTCCTCTACCCTCTTCTTCCTTATTCCCTTCTTTTCCTGTTTGACTCTCCCCTCCTGCTTCCGGCTCTGCTCCACCCCGCCCCAGGCAAAACACCCTCCCAGACACGTGGGAGGGTCTCCAATTCCAGCGCTTCATTGGCCCTTGCCCTTCGCCCACTGACCAAAATAGCTGTCGATCAAATCTAAGTCCCGCCCTCCTCGTGAAGACGGAAGCCTGGAGCCTTCCAACCAATGAAAAGTAGGAGGAAGCCGGGCCATCTTGAGTGCTGAGAGGCGGTGTGAAATGCGTCCCACTGCGCACAGCGTGGCGGAAGTAGCTTCGATCAGGGGGCGGGGCCACTAAGGTCTATTGAAAAGTCTATTTCGGACGCAACCATCTAGAGTGTGGCGGAAGTATAACGTTTCCACAGTTTAGGGAAAAAAAGAAGAGAGTCGTGGTGACTCTAAAGGGTGCTGGAAAAATAAGTTATTTCTGGAAGGTAACCAGGAGCTCCTCAAGAGGAAAACAATGTGAAGCTAAAAAATTTTTGATGTCTTTTGTCTTGATGCACAGCACCGTTACCAAGGTCCCTCTCTTGGTCTCAAACTGCCCAAACAGCTGCTTAGCTCCCTTTAAATTCCCTATGAGATAGTACCTTTATTTGAGGCATAGTGCTTTGTAACCCCAAGTTTCAAAGACAAAATTCTATTGACTCTATCTCTGAAATAGCTCTGAAATCCACACTCTCCAGCCCACATTGTTTTAATCCATGTTCTTATCTTCTGGCTAAATAAAAATGGCCTCCCAGCTGCCACTGGAATTGCCTATTCTTCCCTCTCAATTCCTTCCGCACCACCACACTGGCAGTGCTGCACCACATAAAACCAAACGTTATGATGTCATGGCTTCTCCTTTTGAAATACTTAAACTAGCTAGCTACACGATATATAGTCCAAACTTCTCAATATGGTGCTCTCTGTGACCTAATCCACTTCTCTTTATCTCACCTCCAGCCACTACATTTTCCCACACGGTCTACTCATACTGAACACTTAGACGCCCAATAACTTCATTTACACATTTCACAGACCCTTCCCTGCTTACAGACTCTTAGCCCCCATCCCGTTTCTTCTGAATTCATGTAACACTTAAATCTGCCTGCCTGATTTGCAGCTTTTTGTACAGCACTAGTTCTTTTTATTCTCCTTTTCATTTAAATCTCTACAACATTCTGTACAGGCTTCAACCATGAGCTCAATCAATGTAGGTTAAATAAATGAATAAATGAAGACTCATGGTAAAGAAGCCAGCTGCCTGTAGCAGCCAATTTCCTCTCAATAACCTGCCAAAGTATTTTACAGCCTGACCAGTTAGCCCACAGCTGAGCCCAGAGGGAGAGGTTCTTGGCTTAAATGTTGGCAAAATGGGAAACAGGTAAGAGTGAAGAAATCCATTTTGCCCCAGCTTAAGAATGCCCACAGTTCTGCCTCTATCTTGATCCTGCTTTCCCAAGTACTACAAAAAATGACAAGTGTTTTTGCCAATCTCTAGTTTCTTAGAAATGCATCCATCCCACAAATCAAGCTCTTTAGGGAAGAAGATTGAGTACTAAGCAAAGACCAAATTATTTTCATGGCACAGTCTCTCAATCCTGGCCTCAAGAAGTTACAAGTGTCCACTAGAAAGGCTGGGTTTCATCGTCATTAGGAAAACCCATTTCAATTTGGCAAATACAAGGGATTTTCCCCCAACTTCCTTTCTCCCTTTACCTGAGAGTTCAAACTGAGCTACTGCAGAGCACAAACACTAAACCCTGTGCAATCTGGATTAGCACTTCCCACATCATGGCCTTTTAGTAATTCTACCTCTTATTCAACATCCCACAGGAGCCAACTCAAATGAGGCAGAGAGATGCTACCAAATAGGACTGACATGAAGTTTGAGTGAACTTTTTTTTTTTAGAGATGTGATCTTTGCTCTGTCGCCCAGGCTGGAGTGCAGTGGCTGCATCATAGGTCACTATAACCTGGAACTCCTGGGCTCAAGCAATCCTCCTTGCCTCAGACTCCCAAGTAGCTGGGACTACAGGTAGAATGAATGCTTTTTAAAGCACCCCTGAAGACTGTAGCCACCACATACTCTCCAGGACTTTTCAAAAGAGCAATTATCTATGAAGAGAAGAGGAATGCCGGGAGACTTGAGGAGCTAGGAAAGAAAGAGGAAGGTTGTCGATTTTGAAAGCTGTTTCAACTCAGTGACGACTTGTTCCTGAGCTCTGGCTACCTCTGATGCTTTGCTTTTCCTATTTGCCTTTGACAATGGGCAAAGCTGAAGCCAGTTCTCCCATCCTAAAGAAACTATCTCAAAGGCAGACTTTTCTGCTTAGATACCAGCTAAAATCAAATTGCACATGTTACAAAATGGATGAACCTTGAAAACATTATGCTAAGGGAAAGAAGGCATACACAGAAGCCCACATACTGAATTATTCCATTTATATAAAATGTCTAGAATAGGCAAATAGAGACAGAAAGATTGGGGTTGTGAAGAGCTGAGTATGGATAGGGAGAATGGAGAGGGATTGCTAATGGGTATGGGGTTTCTTTTGGGGGTAATGAAAATGTTCTGGAATTAGATAGTGGGGACAGTTGCACAACTTTGTGACTATACTAAAAACCACTGGATTATATACTTTTTTTTGAGACAAGAGTCTCGCTCTATCACCTGGGCTAGAGTGCAGTGGAGTCATCATAGCTCACTGCAACCTCAAACTCCTGGGCTCAAGTGAGCCTCCTGCCTCAGCCTCCCAAGTAGCTCGGACTACAGGCACACACCACGATGCCCAGCTAATTTTTTCCATTTTTTTTTGGTAGAGACAGGGTCTCACTCTTGCTGGGGCTGGTCTCAAACTTCTGAGCTCAAGCAATCCTGCCGCCTCGGCCTCCCAGAGTGCTAGGATTACAGGCGTGAGCCACCTTGCCCAGCATTAATTGTATACTTCAAAAGGATGAATTTTACAGTGAATTATATTTTAATTTTTTAAAATGAGGGGGGGGGATAAAATTGCAGCCAATACCTTGGCTTTGGGGAGGCCCTTCCCTTTGGAGCAGTTTCCTCTATCATCATCCTCAGGCCCTACCCCAGACCTTCAGGATTAGAAATTCTGGGGATGGGTCCTATAATCTGTGTTTTCACAAGCCCCCCAGGGGATTTGGATGCATGTTCTTAAGAACCACTGCTCCAGGGTAGGGTAAACTTTTTGTCAGATGATAAATATTTTAGGCTTTGCATGCTATTTGTATATAGGGTCTCTGTCACACATATTCCTGTTTTTTTCTTTTTTACAACTCTTTAAAAATATAAAACCTTTCTTAGCTCCCAGGCGCACAAAAACAGGTAGTAGGCGGATTTGGTCCCTTGAGCCAGGGCTGGCCAACTCCTGCCCTAGGGCAGCAAGCTCCCATTCTGAGAGACCTCTGGAGCCTGGAGATTCTTCCCCTCTAATTAGGGAAATGAACAATGGCCTCCAGGCATCACAAGTTCCCCTTACAGTTGTGATACCCTCTGACAGGCCAAGGCCAAGGTGAGACCAGATCCTGCTTTCCATCCAGGCTTTATTAACTTAGTTTGCAGACAGTTTCTTTTGTGCTCTTTCAATTTATTCAATTCACAGTGATATCTTTTGAACAGGGTCAGCAAATCCTACCAGACAAAACTGATACGCACATTGATCCCAGATAAGTCACAACAGTCCTCCAAGGAGCTTGAGAAATCACCTTGGGCAGCCAAGCTGGGGAACGGAAGTGGCTGCACTTTGCTGTGTGCCCTTTAAGGCTCTTTGGTCCTGCTTGATTTTCTCTCAAAAGGGTCCAAATAAAACTTCCCTTTCCTATTCAGTACCCACCAATCTTTCTTTGGTGTTTAACCTAATGGGCTGAGGAAGGGAGGCAGCCAGGAAATGATACCCGTTAAAATGTGTGGTTAATGCCTACATATATCCTGTTTGCTCACAGTGAGTGGATGTATCTTTTCAAACAACATGAGGCCTTGGGGAAGAGAACTTCCATTGTTATAGAGAAGATCCCAAGAATAGGTTCAGACATGATTTGAAGCACCATGTAACTGCTGCCTCGCACAGTGTCTTTTTTAGCACTAACAACTCCTGGGAGTCTGACAAACTCAAGTTTAGCAGCGCTTCCTGAGACGCTGTCTGACCAGGGGGCAATGAGGAGGATGGGAAGCGTGGAGATGAGCCCCAAGGAGACACAGATGCCTTTCCCCTCCTTCTCTCTCCAAGGTGCTAGAACTGCATGGGTAAAAAGGTCCATAGCTTGGGAGAGGAGGAAGGGAAGAGGGAAGAGTGGGAGGAGCTTCTCTTCATCCCCAAACCCGGCTGGAACCAGGATCCTAAAGGTTTCCTGATTTTTCAGATGATCTGCATGAGTGTCTCCCCCAGGTACCAGCAACTTCTCCCTGAGAGGGCCTCAGCTTCTGGTCTCCAGCGGACAGGGGTTAAGGAAGAAGCAGAGAGCACTTTGGTCTTTGCTCCCTTTTCATTTTTGTCCCCTGGAGTCCAGTAAACCAACCAGGTGCCTGGGTGGAAGCATGAGGCATCCTCCCACCCCTAATCCACCCTGGCCTTCAGGCCTTGGTGGCGAAGAGGAATGAGGGCACAGGTGTGCACAGTGGCCAAGGAGGAGCTGAGGAATATGGGTAGAGACTGGTCCTTTCTGGGGCGGGGCATTTAGAGACCCTTATTGAAGTAGACATAAGGCAAAAGTTCTCCATACTTGGCCTTAATGGTGTCTTGGAGCTCTGGTTCCAGATAGGAAACTGACAATTCGCTGGAAAGAGAGAAGAAGGGGGTTATAAGCATGACACATGGGACAAGCAGCAAATTACTCTCAGACACAGTCCAACTCAAATGCCACCTCCAAGAAGCTCTTCCTGAGTTTTTCAGCTGGAATTATTACTGGCCTCTGTATACCACAGTATGTTGCTTTTACTTCTTTTCCGGCCCGACTTCATTCTCCTGGACTAGGATTCTTGGTTTAAACTTCTGTCTTCTCCATACTATTGTAAGCACAGTGCTTGGGACAAGGGAGAAGTCTAGCAGATGACCACTGAACTAGTATTGAACTAGAGCACCAAGGAAGGGGAGACTGGCACCTTGTCGATGTATATTCAAGCTACACCTGTCTCCTGGGGCCAGTGTCCCCAGTGTCCCCCCAACCCCAATGTGTGTCCCTTGCCTTTTCCACCATCCCTTCTCCCTGTGCGCCCCCCCTCCCGCCCTTAGAACACATAACGGAAGTGGAGATGTCCAAGTTGTCAACCTTCTGGCAGACATGAGCCAGAAGTACCTGTCCCCTTATTCAATTTTAAAGACCAGGTCCAGCCAGGGCAGAGCGTCCTAACAGCCCCACAGGGAAAGAAAGTCCTTTGTTGTTCCCTCACCTTCTCTCCAAGGCAGCCCTTGCTCCGCTAGGAGGGAGCATCCTCATTCCTGCTCCTGGCTTCTCCCACCCCTAAAGATCTGTGTTGGTTTGCCATTCACCCAGGGTTAAGAAGTTCCAGAGTTTAGGCTCATGGACACTTATCCTTGAACAAATGCTGCCCTTCCTGCCCTCTCCCTCTCTCCATCTGGACAGCAGGCAGGTCAGGGAGAGAGGTGGCAGGGTGTTCAATGAAACAAAACGAGGAACGAATAGCTGATACCATCTCTGTGGGAAGAGCCCACATGCCACTGGCACCATGAAGATGAGGCTGCAAGAAAGGAGAAACCAAAGCATTAGGGGACATCGTCCCACTGGCCTGCCCACACCCCATCCTCAAGAGAGGCTCCCCAAAGGAAGGGAGAGACGCCCATGCATCTGGCCTGCCTTCCCAGCCGGCCCACTCCTCTCCTTGGAGTGCCAGGAGACTCTTTCTGGCAGGGGGTTAAAATCAGTCCCCTTGCACCCCTCATCCCCATCCCCGCCCCCACCACATAGTTCAAGCAGAGGAGGAAGACAAAGACGTGACAGGGAAGTGTGAGCAGCAGACATAAAGCCCACAAGCACCGCCGGCTGTAGCGAAAGGAGGGAGTGGTGCGAGTTCCGAGGCCCAGCTCCTCCACTGAGGGAACACCTGGGCCGCCAGAGCACAGTGAAAGGCAGGTTCCCAAACTTCGCTTTGCCCACAGATAACTTCGGGGGCTTGTAAAAATACACATGCCGATTGAGTAGGTCTGGGGAAGGGCTGGAGAGTCTTTACTTCTAACAGGTTCTCAGACGCTGCTGCTGATGCTGGCCAGGGCCAAGTTTGGGGTGCAAGGTCTTACAGGATTTAGGAATCTACCAGACCTGGCTTGGTATTCCAGCTTTGCCTCTTAACTGGCTGTGCAACCTTGAGCAAGTTACCTCTGAGCCAGCAGAGGGAGGACAACAGTGCCCACTTTGCAGGGCTACTGTGAGAATTAAATGAGATAATATATGCAAAGCACCCAGCCCAGGGTAACTCACTTAGCAGAAGTTTGTACAGCCCAATGTTAGACTGTTTAGGATCAAATCTCAGTTCCAGCAAACAATTACCAGCTATATACTCTTGGGCAAGCTTCTTAATCTCTCTAGGCCTCACTTCCTTCATTTATAAAAAGAGACAATAATACTATATACACCTCTAGAGCTGAGAGAATTAAATTATAGACGTGCAGCATTAGCTCAGCAGGGACACAAAGAAAACACCCAGTCAACGCAGGTGTTAGTGTTGCTGTCAATAATCCTGTGGCCTTGCAAGCACGATTAATGTAGGATGTGTCCAAGTCAATGGCAGGCACCTACAATGACATGACTGGTGGCATTTTCATCCTGTGGGAGGCTGGGACACTTGACAGCCCCTGTCAAAGCTGTGTCTCCTTATTCTTGTCCGTTCTCTAAAACTGCTCCAGTCCCAGAGGGAGACCCTGGGAAAGACGGGCACCCAAGCACTCCACTTTCCACATGGACATGTATATAGGGCCCCATCACCCTGATGCCCTTAAAAACAATGGGGTAGGCTGGGCGCAGTGGCTCACGCCTGTAATCCTAGCACTCTGGGAGGCCGAGGCAGGTGGATTGTTTGAGCTCAGGAGTTCAAAACCAGCCTGAGCAAGAGCAAGACCCCGTCTCTACTAAAAATAGAAAGAAATT